TGTTTGCGCTGACCTTGCTATGCCTGTCATGGGCTTGTTTGCTTTGGAGCAGGGACCTGGTAGGAATTTTACCATTTGACTGATTGGCTGGTGCCATTTGGGTTTTGCCTACTGCGTAGCAAATCGTCAGAACTTGTAAGTGGCGGTTAGGCATTGGTTTTTTGGTTGGTGGAGGGAATGAGGCTCGCTGTGCCTGCCCCTCCAATGCTGCGGCTGCAAGGGTATTCCGTTAAAGGAATCCAGTGGCTCTCCATGCTTTTGTCCGTATCCCTGACAAATGGCTAGGGCCATGCAAGAGCCCCAGGGAGCATTTGGGGAGCGGTGTGAGGCTGGCACCCAGCTTTTTCTCTCCCCAAAATTGCTTACCCTTACTGACTTCCGCACGGGTGTGGTTGTCAGTTCTGTTCCTACCTCCAAGTGGGAACAGATAGTCGCTAACCAATGCCTAAGCAACCACTCATTTACTGTAATTCTTTTTTTTTTTTAATGATATTTATTAAAGTTTCAAAAAATACCGGAAAATACAGAATACAGAAAGAAGAAAAAAAAATATAAAGTTTTTAAGATATAACAACAAAGTAAAGAATAAAAAGAAACATACAAAATAAAACAGTTAAAAACACGTTCATTTCCCCATAACCTATCTTCCTTGCACTTATTTCCCCGGACCTCCTCGTACCTCCCTTTTTTGTATTCCAGTTCAATTTGTTAGTTCAGCAAATCCTTACCATTAAGCTTTTACCCATTTGTAAGCCTTTTTTCGTATCTCTTAAAGCATTACAGCTTAATTTCTATCTAACATCCTTCTAAAATTCCTTAATTTTACAATATTTCTGTAAATAATCTTTAAATTTCTTCCAGTCTTTTTTCACTGACTCTTCTCCCTGGTCTCCGATTCTGCCAGTCATTTCCGCCAATCATTTACTCTAATTCAATAAAGTTGTGGCCAAAATTATGCCAAAAACCAAAACAAAAATGATGTGTGAACGTGCTTTTATTCAGGGGTGTCTTGGGGGTACTTGACACGCAAACGGAACTAATTAGTAACAAAAGGCAGCTAATGGTACAATAGTTCTCAGGATACACCATTGTTTCACCCACCGGGCTTCTTCAGCAACAAGGTTTCCAGGAAATTCCTCAGTGGGGTTTTTTCAGCCGAAAGTAGAAAGTAGTCCTCAGGGATGAAGGTCTCAAAATAAAACATTACAAAGGAGGTCAACTACAGAACACATATTTAACACAGTAGGGCTAGGTAAGTCTGGGCCCCGCCCCCTAGGCCAGGTGGAAAGGGCCTTGCAGGGAGTGGCCCCAACGCCTCACAGCCATTTTAAAAATGTTTTTAAACTGTGAGGAGAGAGTTGTTTTTCCTAATCTCTTGGAGAGACATTTACAGTGGTGCCCCGCAAGACGAATGCCTCGCAAGACGGAAAACCCGCTAGATGAAAAGGTTTTCCGTTTTTGAGTTGCTTCGCAGGACGAATTTCCCTATGGGCTTGCTTCGCAAGACGAAAATGTCTTGCGAGTCTTGAGATTTTTTTTCCGCTTCCCCCCCCTTTATCTAAGCCGCTAAGCCTTTAATAGCCTTTTAGCAGCTAATCCGCTAAGCCAATAAGCCTTTAATAGCTGCTAAACCGCTAATAGCGCTAATCCGTTAAGCCGCTAATAGGGTTGCTTCGCAAGACGGAAAAAACCGCTAGACGAAGACACTCGCGGAACGGATTAATTTCGTCTTGCGAGGCACCACTGTACTTTTAAGGGAGTTACAGAAAATAAAGAAGAAAGTGGTTAAAAATTCCGTAGCCACCAGAAGGTTTTCTGTTGGGAAGAGTACCAGGAAGTCTAAAGGAAGAAGACAAGACATTATATTTATACGCAACAGTAGCCACAAGGCTATTGGTTGCGAAAAATTGGAAAAGTGGTATTATACCAACAAAAATAGAGTGGCTTGCCAAATTATTGGAGTATTACAATATATCCAAAACAATGGGGGAAATTGGAAGGATCTCAAAAGAGAAGATAGACAGGGACTGGAAGGTGTTTAAAGGATACTTGCAAAACCATATTGAAAAATCAGAACTCCTATTAGAATAAACAAGTTCCGTTTTAAATACTGAAATACTGAATAAGATGGGTAACAATGTGTAATAGAAAAAGAAGCATGAAATTAGGTTAAAGGTGTGTGAAAGAAAGTAATAGAAGTGGAAAGAAATTGCAATTGAGTAGACTGGAAGTCTAACACAAAGGTGGGGTGAGGGGTGGTGGATGGTGATGGGAAAAGGAATTATCTGTGGGATTGAGTATGTTTGAACAGTTTTAAGGATTGTATGAAATGTATGTTTGTATGCTTGTATATTCGCAATATGTGTGTATTAATGCTGAATTATTTTAATAATAAAAACTTAAAAAAATAAATAAAAATTCCTTAGCCACCTTTCATTACTGTAAGTTTACAAAGACTTCGCAACACACATGTAGACTGCACAGGTGCAAGAAAACACAGATTAACTCATAATCAATCTGAGTCTGAATTATGACAGTCATAAGTTTGTTGGGTCAGTGTTTGTTGGGTCACAGTCAGGGTTTATACATGCTCCATTCAAATTACAAACTGGCTTATTTTTCAGCGGCATCACTACAAATAAAATAAAATAAAATAAAATAAAATAAAATAAAATAAAATAAAAACACCACCCATTGCATCTCCGCCGAAAACCACAGCCTTTTGAAGTTGCTTTGGAACATTGCTACAAGAGTTGGTGTATAAGTTACAGTCGGCGTGCTCCCCACTTTTCAAAAAACAGTATTGCCACATGAAAGCATTAAACGACAGGTGTGTGCATGAACACGCACTCCTGAAACTGCTATGTATTGCCCTGTCTTGTAAGAACGGTGGAAATGGTCTATTTTGTTTTACTCAGATGTGCCTTTTTTCACAGCATGCGTTTGTAGGAGAGTTGTGCATTTGTAAAAGAAAAGAAAAGAAAATGCATCTAAAAACAATTCTGCCTTCTGCAGCTGATCTGGAGGTCCAGCGTGTGACATCGTGGGAGAACCACCTGCTTTGCTGCCTCTGCAATCAACTGCCTGAAAACCCCAAACAAAAGAGGTGGGTGGTTGTGGTTGGGTTGCGGTTCCTTTGTGCTCCTGAGCTCAACAAATATGAGAAAGTGAAACAAATGGAGGACTAGAAAATCCTAGGCCTAATCCACGCAATATGTCTGGGAGCTGAAAACTGGAGGAAGACACAAATCCCATTTGGGAAAGGTATACCAGGATGAGTGCGTCCTTCACTGAGAATCTACACAGAGAGGGTTGGGCGAATCTGTCCATTTCAGTTTCACTCAGTTTTATCATTTCTCCAATTTTAGATTCATCTCTTTACTTTCAACTTTGGTTGCAATTTTTAAAAAAGAAGTCCTCATGAAAATCCACCAGCATTTTCTGCTAATTTCTTCTAATATACAAATTCAATTCCCGTATGTAATTACCAGGAGGATACTTAAAAATACGGAACAAATGTTCTAGCTTTGCTGGGTCAAGCCAGGAACCATCTAGTTGAAGCATTCTGGGTGATATTCAATTTAAGTTTTACTCAGATCAGACTTACTGAAATTAATGGACCTAACTTAGTCAGGTTCGTTGATTTCATAGTTTGACTATGAGCTGTGTGAAAAGGCACTTTCATTTGTCCGTCCCAAATCTTCCAATTTCACTGGATGGCCCTGAGTTCCAGTATTTTGTGAGGGAGAAAAACTTCTTTTTTTTTATAATTGATATTTATTGAATTTTCAAAAAATAACAACAAAAATTTCCAAAAAAAAAATTTTAGGATACAAAAAACAAAAATAGTGCATAAACAAAAAAGAAAAGAAAACCCAGCCGCAAAGAAAGAAAAAAAAGAGAAACAGAAAAACAAAAATATAAAGTCCTTTACAATCTCTATTGACTTCCTTTCTAGACTTCCTCCTCCTCCCCTCTTTTGTTTCTTAATTTTTAATTTTTACAGCAAATCCTTTCTGTTTTTCATAACAATCTGTCATTACGTTTCCTTATTCTATTTTCCCTCTTGTCATATAAAAACTTTAAAACTCATAGCTTATATTCAATATTTACCAAATTCTTGCATCATTACCTTTTTACGAATCATTTACCAATCCTTACTTAAGCCATGTAATTTCATTCAACATCCTTCAAACATTTGTAAGCATTCCCAATATTAAAATAAAAAAGAAAAATTAATAAGTCAAATTCAGTCCAGTCAGCTTCCAACCTCCCCTCCCCTGGACCCGGGATTGTCAGTCCTTTTAACCTCCCTTAACCTGGTTGTCTCGTATCCGAGGCCCTCAAGTCTCTTTCTTGCCCCTTTCGCCACTCTTGTTGATGATTCCTTTCCAGTCGTGGATGCTCCAGCAAGAAAATGCTTTTGACCCTTTGCAGCAAGTCCATCCCAAACCCATTGCCCAAGCCAGACAGCAAATAATACCACTTCAAATTTCCACAAAGCTTGGAGACTTCGGCTACTCCAATCCTCTGATAGCCCATCACCAGACTCGGAAGGTCCAAATAACCATATGGAGGGGGTCGATCCATCCCCCCATTTCCAAATCTGACCACATTTCATCTTTCCGAATCTGGTTTGTCCCAAGTTCATTTATCAAGTTCAAAGGCTGATCTTGCCCGTCCAAAGGTCCCTCCATCTCTGAAGCCTCCATCACTACAGCAGGTTCATATGCTTGTATAGCCTTTAACTGAATTTCATTTGTTTGCTGCTGTGCTCTGGTAACTTCCATCCTCAAGGTCGTCTCCTGACGCATCTGGTCCAGCTGGGCACTTAGTTTTGAAAAACCTTCCAGGAACAATTGTTCAAGCCTTTGTACTAGCATTGTCCTTCAAGGTCAAAGAAAATTCTTTCCCACGAGAGTAGTCCAATAGTCCTTCTCTTTTAATCTCTCTGCGTTGCAATTTCACTAAATTCCACTAGATGGAATTTTTTTTTTTTAAAAGGAATAAAAGCAACAGCAACAATCTTTCTTTTTCCAGAAACACTTTATCCAAAATTTCCCCTTCCAAATTCAAGAGGCAACAGTAGAATCAAAATGTTACCCTTCTTTTAACTAACTGTCGAGCTGGATAAACTTCAGAACGTCAATTCTGACAGCCCGCTCCTGGTTCAGGGCGGTGGAAAATTGCTTTATTTTAAACTCACTTCCGCAGGATTGAAAGGTCCAAATACAACCCCCTTTTTCTCCTGCTGTCAAAGGGGGGGTTCAGAAATCTTAGATGTTGAATTCTAGTTCTCTTAAAATTTAATTTTCAGGCTTTAGTATATTTTGTCTTTGCTTTCTTCACATAACAAAAGAACGGAAGGCGACTTCCTGTTTAGACCTTCCCATTCCGAGTCCCAATTAAGTTCAATTTCAAGTCCAATATTGTTTGTTTATTCACCAGTCTTAAAAGTGGTTCAGCTCTTCTAAGATCAGGTACTCACGGATAGATGTTTTAGATGCCAGATTGTCCAGGAAAAAGGCAGCGCTCTCCGATAACGGCAGTGCGGCTTTGCTGCACGGAGGAAGCAGACGACTCACAGCACCACGCACCCCCACTCCGGAGCCCGTTACCGGGCTCCTGTACAAGGGGAGAGAGCGCTCTCGGTGCCCGCCGAGTCCCACGTCCACAGGCTTCTTCCGCCTGTGGTTTTTGCGGGTCCCCGCTGCGCCGTAGCGGCAGGACCCAAGCCTCCGTGCAGCGGGTTCCCTTCAGTCCGAAGGGAATTCCGCCATTTTCCGGAGGCGCCACCCCGGAAGTCCCAGAAAAACTTCTTCCTATCTGCTTTCTCAATATTTTGTATAATTTATACACCCTCTTTCATGCCTCCCTTTACTCTTCTCTATATTTAGGGATGCAGATGGTCTAAACCACTGAGACTCGTGGGCTTGCCAATCAGAAGGTCAGTGGTTCGAATCCCTGTGATGGAGTGAGCTCCCGTTGCTCTGTCCCAGCTCCTGCCAGCCTAGCAGTTCAAAAGCACATCAGTGCAAGTAGATAAATAGGTACCGCTGTGGCGGGAAGGTAAGTGGCGCTTCCATGCGCTCTGGCTTCCGTCACGGTGTCTCGTTGCACCAGAAGTGGTTTAGTCATGCTGGTCACATGACCCGGGAAGCTGTCTGTGGACAAACGCCGGCTTCCTCAGCCTGAAAGCGAGATGAGCGCCGCAACCCCTAGTTGCCTTTGGCTGGACTTAACTGTCCAGGGGACCTTTACCTTACCTTTCCCCCCTCTCTATTAAAAAGCCCCAACTATTATATCATTGATTGTACAGTGGTACACCGGGTTAAGTACTTAATTCGTTCTGGAGGTCTGTTTTTAACCTGAAACTGTTCTTAACCTGAAGCACCACTTTAGCTAATGGGGCCTCCCGCTGCCGCTGTGCCGCCGCTGCACGATTTCTGTTCTCATCCTGAAGCAAAGTTCTTAACCCGAGGTAATATTTCTGGGTTAGCGGAGTCTGTAACCTGAAGCGTATGTAACCTGAAGCGTATGTAACCCGAGGTACCACTGTACAGTATATTCTATTTCAACCTCCTGGCGGAGGACTGAAACTTCTATAGGGATGGGCCAAGGATTATGGTCTCTCCTCAGGCCACAGCTGGAAGGTCTATGCCCTGTCTGACCCACACTTGGCTTCCGCACAGAGACATCCACCTACACCCTCTAACAGGGTACCCTGAATGTGCCACTGGTTTGGCTCCGCTTGATGACTAGGATTCCACCCAATGTCTTTTGCCACCAAGGTGAAGGTAAAGGGACCCCTGACCATTAGGTCCAGTCGTGGACGGCTCTGGGGTTGCAGCGCTCATCTCGCTTTATTGGCCGAGGGAGCTGAGGTACAGCTTCTGGGTCATGTGGCCAGCATGACTAAGCCACTTCTGGCGAACCAGAGCAGCGCACAGAAACGCCGTTTACCTTCCCGCCAGAGCGGTACCTATTTATCTACTTGCACTTTGACGTGCTTTCAAACTGCTAGGTTGGCAGGAGCAGGGACCAAGCAACGGGAGCTCACCCCGTCGCAGAGATTCGAACCGCCAGCCTTCTGATTGGCAAGTCCTGGGCTCTGTGGTTTAACCCACAGCACCACCTGTGTCCATTTACCACCAAATGTTGTGACATTTGCTATGAGGAAGGCAAAACTTCCAGACTGGCCAATCTGTCTGCAGGCAAATTCCTTCCTGGCTCCAAATATGACAACCGTTAGCAACCTTAGCAAGGTCAGATAATACAAAGGAGGAGGAGGAGGAGGAGGAGGAGGAGGAGGAGGAGAAGGAGAAGGAGAAGGAGAAGGAGAAGGAGAAGGAGAAGGAGAAGAAGAAGAAGAAGAACAACAACAACAACAACGAAAGACAGTTGAACATCCAACCCTAGAAGAAAATATTGTTAAATTTCATAAGAAGCTAATGACCTAAAAGGCAATAAAAGGTTAAACTAAACACTTATAGGAGCATGAAGGGAGGGAAGGTTTGCTCTTCCGCTAACTGCATTGAACGTCCCCAGTGCAGCCAGATTTTATGCATTGCTGCTGGATAGAAGTGGAAACTTCCAGCCCAGCCCATCTCCAGCATCTTAAGTTTGATATGGGCTCAAATTGAACTACACCAGACCAATAATAATAATAATAATAATAATAATAATAATAATAATAATAATAATTTATTTATACCCCGCCCATCTGACTGGGTTTCCCCAGCCACTCTGGGCAGCTTCCAACAAAATGTTAAAATACAGTGGTCTGTTAAACATTAAATGCTTCCCTAAACAGGGCTGCCTTCAGATGTCTTCTAAAAGTCTGGTAGTTATTCTTCTCTTTGACATCTGACAGGAGGGCGTTCCACAGGGTGGGTGCCACTACCGAGAAGGCCCTCTGCCTGGTTCCCTGTAACTTGGCTTCTCGCAGTGAGGGAACTGCCAGAAGGCCCTTGGCACTGGATCTCAGTGTCCGGGCAGAACGATGGGGGTGGAGACGCTCCTTCAAACTACTGCATAAGACCTGTCAATTAGCATTAGTTTGTCATTGTTTAAAAATGGATGCTAAATATTATGTTAAAGGTAAAGTTAAAGGGACCCCTGACCATTAGGTCTAGCCGTGACTGAGCTGGGACCGAGCAACGGGAGCTCACCCCGTCTTGGGGATTCGAACCACCAACCTTCTGATCGGCAAGTCCTAGGTTCTGTGCTTTAACCAACAGCACCGCACACGTCCCTAAATATTATGTTTCGTGTTACCAAATAAAGCTGTCTAATAGCAGTTGAATGTGTTTCTTAGATGCACAGTCATATTTTTATTAATTAATAGCAATCTATCCTGGACATAATTTAGTCTTGAGTGCAAAGAGTTTTAGTCCTTCACAGCGAGATGTTTAATAGTCCTCAGGGCGTTTGTTTTTTGTAATGTAGATTAGAAGAGGCAGTAAAAGAAAGACAGGAAGTTTTCAGAACAACAGGAAACCTCAGTCACATTTAGGGGGTCTAACGAACCCACCAGCATAGAGAAATGCAGCCAAGTTCTATCTCACGGTAACCAGGTGTTGCTATGTTGGATGTCAGGCCTCACCACAAGCTTTGCAAACCGAGCTGACACAAAAATTCAGAACTTGCTCATTGGTTATGAACAAGAATGTCTCAAACTAGAAAAAAGCAACAAGGGACCCTGTGTTAAAGCTAAAGGCTAAAGATGCTGTATGGACCATGGACACTGAGGGCAATGGTTTATTATTTTATGATGCTTACTATACCATCTAAATATGTTTCAGCAACCATGAGCATATATATCACATCACCACCATGACAATATCCTGCTTCCCTCTCTCTGTTCCCTTTTGTATCATATCTTTTTAGATTGTAAAACTGTGCCAAGGAGAAGAGTCGGTGGAAGAAGATTGGAAAAAATTTAAAGTATATCTTCAAAAATATTGTAATATTAAAGACTGTTAGAAAGATGTTGGAAAAAGAAAATTAGGTAGTTTTGGTAGATATGATATAAAGGATTAAGCAAAAATGAGTTGATGAAATTGATGAAAGAGAGGATGTTAAACTATAATACTTTAAATTAAACTACGTAAATGAAAATAAGGTTGGAAGGATTTGCTGAAAAAACGATCTGAACCAGAATACAAAATTGGGAGGTGTGAGGAGGTAAAGGAAATAAGTAAAGGAAAAAAGTTATATAAAGGTTTAATCTGTTCTTGTTCTATTTCAATTGAATGTATTTTTATACCTTCTTTTTCTCTCTCTCTGTTATTGTTATATTCTTTTTTGTATTTTGTATTGTTCTTTTTTCTTTTTGTAACTTTAAACTTTGAATAAATATTATTATTAAAAAAAAAAATAGATTGTAAAACTGTGGACAGGGATCGTCTTGTTTTTATTGATAATTAAGACATGCCGGGAGTCTTTTTGGCTGAAGACAGAGTAGGGTACAGATGCCTTGATTTAACACTTAAATGAATAACTATAGGAAAAACAGGGACACGGGTGGTGCTGTGGGTTAAACCACAGAGCCTAGGACTTGCCGATCAGAAGGTCGGTGGTTTGAATCCCTGCGATGGGATGAGCTCCCGTTGCTCGGTCCCTGCTCCTGCCAACCTAGCAGTTCAAAAGCACGTCAAAGTGCAAGTACATAAATACGTACTGCTCCGGTGGGAAGGTAAACAGCGTCTCTGTGCACTGCTCTGGTTCGCCAGAAGCGGCTTAGTCATGCTGGCCACATGACCCGGAAGCTGTACGCCGGCTCCCTCAGCCAATAAAGCGAGATGAGCACCACAACCCCAGAGTCTGTCACAACTGGACCTAATGGTCAGGGGTCCCTTTACCTTTACCTATAGGAAAAACAACAGCTCACATTTTCACAATAGGAGAAAGCAGGCAGCAGAATCATGCACGGCTTATTGGCTTATTCGAAGCAATAACTGTGTATATAGGCAGTGAATGTGATGTCAGTCACAGAAAAAGAGAGCACGAAAAGCTGGATGTGCTGTTAGTACAACATCTGAACTAGCAGGGTCTAGATTAGCATGACTCTGCCTGCCTCCAGAGGGTCTCCCTAGCCGCTTTACTCTGTGCCCCTCTCTTTGTAGCTAGCATATCTTCTATACAGTGGTACCTCGGGTTAAGTACTTAATTCATTCCGGAGGTCCGTTCTTAACCTGAAACTGTTCTTAACCGGAAGCACCACTTTAGCTAATGGGGCCTCCCACTGCCGCCGTGCCACCGGAGCATGATTTTTGTTCTCATCCTGAAGCAAAGTTCTTAACCTGAGGTACTATTTCTGGGTTAGCGGAGTCTGTAACCTGAAGCGTCTGTAACCCGAGGTACCACTGTATATGGAATCTTCCATTATATGCAGCACCCGCAATTCAATGCAGCTGGTTTGATGAAAGATACATGGCATGACCCATCCCTTCCCAAGTGCCTGGAGTTGGGCATGGAGAAGGGAATTCTCACGGGACTCAATGGAGCCTTTTAATGTGCCCGGTCTTAGCTGGGTGCAGACAGGTGCTGGTAAAGCGTGATGTGCGTCTGATCTTTACTGATAGCAGGTGGTCTGTCAATATATTCCTGGCAAAGAAGCCACTCGTTTTCAGAGCGCAAGCTGGCTAGAGGGGAGGTGTGTTTATACACACACAAAATAAATTGCTTCTCTTTAGTGAAACCATGACTCTTGTGATTCAGAATACCTCCCTTTTCCCCCCTTTCTAGTGTTCAAAAGAAAACCCTTGCAGAAACTGATTCCACAATCCTTTCCATCTTTGAGATTGT